CTTACTCGTATATTTCTCTATCCTCCTCTTGACACTTGTATAAATTAAACTTTACTTCCTCGTAGAACAATCAACCGCTGAGTGCGGATCTAGAAGAAGGATCGCAAGGAACAAATGCTACTTACAATAACCCTAACATGACTTCGGATCGAGGAAAAGAGCCTATCAATGAAATTCCTTTAGTCGAGGGTTCTGTCTTTAAGCTTTCCTTTTTATGGCCTTATTCGGATCAATACAACTATCGTTGCATCTATAGAGTGCCCAACCGGTTACGGAGAGTGAACCCTGAGGCTTACACACCTCAAATGCTTCTAATCGGTCCTCTTCACCATTCTAAGAAGGCTATAGCTGCTGATCTCTCTAAAACCGATTCGAGGTATACAACACAAACTTAACATTTATTTGGCTATTTTGGTTTTTCGTCCCGTTTGGACCTATATATATATGGTATATATACCACTATTGTAATTTAAATATTTTCATACCTATATTAAACTTTAAAATATGAAATTTTGAATGAATTTTGATTTATTTCATTCATTCAGTTTAGAGATATTATTGTACAGTTCGATTTAAAATAAAGTTCGGTTTGAAGGAATTTTAGTTCCATTTTTATGCGCATTATTTCCTCTCAGATATTTGGACTATATGAAGATGGAGCAACACAAGATGAAATACCTCGAAAATATTGAGCTTAGGTATGGGAAGCAAACAGTCGAAGAGTTCAGAGGAATCATCAAAAGAGATGAGCAAGTCATAAGAGCATGTTACGCAGAATCAACGGAGTGGATCGACTCTCACGACTTCGTTGAAATGATGCTCCATGACTCGGTGTTCATACTAGTGTTCTTCATCTTTTACGGACGTCTATACCTGGACAAAACAGGAGATTTTCTTTTCGACGAGCCTTGTCACCAATACACTATCTTTGAAGACCTAATCTTGCTTGATAACCAACTTCCTTATGCCCTTTTAGAAAATCTCTTCGAACCCTTTTACACAAAGCATGAGGCTAACGTAACGTTCCGTGACATTATCCTTCGAGGTTTTCATATCCAAGGAAAGATCAATAAAGAAACAAAATTCCTACATTTCACGGATTTGCGTCGGTGCGTCTATGTTGCGTCGCTTGGTCTAACGAAAGAAGAGCAGATTAAGGCAAAGTTTTTGAGAAAGAAGACGATAATGAGTCTTCACAACGCAAACGAGCTAGACAGTGCAGGAGTTGAATTTGTAGTTTCTAAAAAAGAAAACGAATCTCTGGTGATTAAATTTGAAAATGGAATCTTGCAAATGCCTTGCTTCATGGCAGAAGATTGCACCGAAAGGGATTTTAGGAACATGATGGCACTCGAGCAATGTCATTACACTAACACGGCCTTTGTTTGTAACTACGCGATGTTTTTGGACTTTCTCATTGACACCGAGCAAGACATTGACTTGCTTGTCAAGAAAGGTATGTTACATCGTTTTAAAAAGTAATTTGGTATTCATAACTATTAACATTTTACAGGAACTTACAGTAGCTCTAGGGTTGGGCAAAAATTCAGTATATCTAAAATCTAATCCAATCTGAAGTTTGCATCCGGGGATTTTGATTGAAAAATGCTTCTTTTAAACATGAAATAGGGGTTATAAAGAACTGGTTGTGCCGTGAATCATCAGTGGCGGAAATGGTGAACAAGCTGTGTTTAGGGATTGTTGATTATGGCTCTTACTATTACAATATAGCTGCAAGCCTCAACAAACACTATGACAATCGTCTCAACAGATCCGTCGCTACTCTCCGGCGAGTCTACTTCAAAGACCTTTGGACCGGAACCGCCACTGTTGCCGCCATTGTTATCCTCGTCTTGACTTTGATTGGTACGGTGGCTTCTGTTCTCCAAGTGACGCATAACGACAATAATCCCACCAAGTCCCAGCCTCCACCGCCTCTAGCTCGGAAACCCTAGATTGTTTCTTGTGATGAGCTATTTTTTTTTTCTTTTC